GACCTATTATGTAAGTGTATTTATGTAAGTGCGTTTGTACGTGTATGTTTGGGGGTCTGTAATGGACTAATCTACTTCACAATATTCCTCATGGGAACAAATTCGGTCAGTACTGGCACCTGAACATACTTCTGGAATGAAAAAATATCGTTAAACAGGGGTCCACTGTATATGACACAGTAGTGTCTGAAAGAGTTTTACCCCTGTGTGTGGTAGGGTCATGAATTATAATTTATTATTTTAGGATTTGTTTGTACAAAGATGCTAATTATAATTTATTATTGTAACACGTATGTGTGTATATTATCAGACGTCAGAATACCTCTAGACCTAAGATTGTTTTTATATGATATTAAAGATAATTTAGTTTAACGCTTATTTTGTATCCCGAACTCTTATATTATGACACTAATGGAAGGCCAATTGGTGTTTTGTAATAACCTCTCTTTTACTTGCTGTTGCCATTTTCCTTTTGTCCCATCTACCTTTACCCTAACTGTAGCTACAACTAATTAATGATCTGATATATCAATTGCCCCTCTATAAACATGTACATCCTGAAGCCTACCCATCAACCTTTTATCCACCAATACATAATCTAACAAACTACTTTCATTACGTGCTATATCATACCTTGTATACTTATTTATCCTCTTTTTCATAAAATATGTATTACTTATTACCAAATCTCTTTCTACACATAGCTCAATTAAAGGGTCCCCATTTTCATTTACCCCTGGCACCCCAAATTTACCTACTACTCCCTCCATAACATTTTTACCCACTTTAGCATTGAGATCCCTAACCACAAGTACTCTCACACTTGGTTCAAAACTCCCCATGCACTCACTCAACATTTCCCAAAATCTCTCTCTCCTCTACACTTCTCTCTTCTCCAGGTGCATAAATGCTTACTATAACCCACTTTTCACATCCAGCCCTTATTTTACTCCACATAATCCCTGAATTTATACATTTATATTCCCTCTTTTCCTGCCATAACTTATCCTTCAATATTATTGCTACTTCTTCTTTAGCTCTAACTCTATTTGAAACCCCTGACCTAATCCCATTTATTTCTCCCCACTGAAACTCTCCCCCCTCCTTCAGCTTTGTTTCACTTAAAGCCAGGACATCCAGCTTCTTCTCATTCATAACAACCACAATCATCTCTTTCTTATCATTCTGCACAACATTCAAGCACATTCAAACATCCCATTTTGATGGTTTTCTTCTTTTTCTTTATAGTAGGCTATACGGGAAAAGGGGGTTACGAGCCCATTGTTCCCGGCATTTTAGTTGACTTTTACAATACGCATGGCTTATGGAGTTAAGATTCTTATTCCACATTCTCATGGATATAAAAGGAAAAGCAATAAGAACAAGAATTATTAACCCTTAAATGGTCCAAACGTATATATATGTTTTTTCAACATCTGAAAGTATGTAAAAAATGTAGATTTTTTTTTGTTTTACATGTGAAAACGTGTAAAAAAACTTTTATCTACTTTTTTTTTGTTATATTTGAAAATATGTAAAAAAAAGTAGATCTACTTTTGTAGCACTATGAATTTGAACGTCGATCTGTTTGGACCGTTTAAGGGTTAAGATAAAATCAAAGAAAACTCAGATAAGTGTGTATACATAAACGTGTACATGATTACATGTGTCTACTCCCATTCAGACCCAGCTGTACTTAGAAACACTGTAAACAATGAACTGTTAAAGATATATACTTGGATGATGACCAACACACTCTCTCTCAACATAAACAAAACATATTTCATGCTGTTTGGCAACAGAGCCTTAAATATCCAACTTAACATATTGTTAAATGGTTCCCCTATATCAAGACACACGGAGGGCAAATTTCTAGGTCTTCTTCTTGACTGTAATCTTAAATTTTAGTCCCATACCCATCACATAGCCAAGAAAATTTCCAAATCAGTAGGAATGATTTCCAAGATATGATACTATGTACCACAAACAACACTCCTTACCCTGTACCACTCTCTAATATATCCTTACCTCACCTAAGGTATTTGTGCCTGGGGCTCAACCACAGCCAACCACCTTAGACCCTTAATAACCCAACAAAAAGCTGCTGTGCGGATAATAACCAGCTCCTGTGCTAGACAGCACACCCCACCGCTTTTCAAAAGACTCAACCTGCTAAATACACCTACCATCCGACATATGACTATTCAACTTATGACCGTGTTTTCTATACCAAATTTCTGGGAAATAGACAACTGTTTGTGTTGGACACAGTGTTTATCGTAAACCTTACAATATGAAATACAGTACTAACAGCATAACAAGTAAAGTAAAAAATGAAATACCAAAATAAAACAATAAAATAAAGTCATTACAAAAATGTGATGTTGATATTCAGTAGTAAGGTTCGACTTACGTTCATTTCGACTTACGAGCGGTTGGCCAGAACCGAACTCATAAGTCGGATGGTACCTGTATACAAGACATACACTCTAATTATTGTGTGAGCTACATATACAGAACATTAAACTCCACTGTAAACCCTCCCCTAAAACTACTCCTTGGCAGTTACAACAGAATGCACAGTCACAATACAAGGCATAAGGCACTTTTCAACATCCCTTGAGTCAATCTCTCACTATGCAAGAACACTATGCACATAAAAGGCCCGAAGATCTGGAACTCGCTACTGGAACAGATCAAGGATCCCCTGACAGCTTATAAATTTAGGACTTTGCTAAAAAATCATCTTATCTCACAATATTAACCAAATCAACCAAAACATCTGTTAATTAGTTTTATTATGTGACCTCCAGGCTTTTAGTTCTATCAATCCACAAAATATTACCGCCTGAACCATTACTTGTAAGGTAGATTTTGTTTGCAATTCAAGATTATTTTACTGAACCCTACTCCACCTTACTACCTGTCACTTGTATTAAGTTTAAATAAGATTGTAGAACAGTTAACCACTACTTCTTGTCTAGTTTTAAGTGTAGTTACTATGTGCTATTATCTCATGTAGTTTTAATTAGTTACTACGTATTAGGATTAGTTTGCCCAAAATGCCTCGGCATGATAGTGGCTATCTCTGTACTTAGCAAATCAAAATTGTAATTACACATTGTAACCTTTACAAAGAAATAAACTTTACTTACTTACTATGTGTAGTGTTATCTAAGTGTAAGTAGAAGTAGCAAGACGTACCTGAAACCTTGCATGTTTATGAGACAGAAAAGACACCAGCAATCCGACCATCATGTAAAACAAATATAGGCTTCCTTTTTACACTCACTTGGTAGGACAGTAGTACCTCACCGAATGGTTGCTGTCCTAAATTGATTTGTGGGCTGGGGACTTCTTGCTGTTTCAGGCAAAGAGTTCCAGATCTTCAGACCCTTTATGGGTTTTGTGCCTCATGTTATGCCTGTGTGTTCTGTTGAAGCTGTCTAGGAGAAGTCTGAGTGGAGGGTTGATATTGGAGTTTAACCCTTAAACTGTCCAAACGTAGATATATGTTTGCTCGCGTAGCACTCCGAACATAGATCTACATTTTTTACATGCTTTCAAATGGAGAAAATAAAGGTCAGAGTGCTACGCATGTGAACGTAGATCTACATTTGGACAGTTTAAGGGTTAATGTTCTGTATATATAGTAGGCACAGTAATAAGTGTGTATATTTTGTACATTAACCCTTAAACTGTCCAAACATAAATCTACAGTTTTCTTTTTACATTTGAAAGCATGTAAAAAAACGTAATCTACAATCGGAGCGCTAGCAGTACAAATGTAGATCTACGTTTGGATAGTTTAAGGGTTAAGTAAGTTCAAGCTTTTTGAAGAGTGGTGGGGTGTGTTGTCTGCTTTATGTTGGGTTATTAACCCGTTAACTGTCCAAATATAGATCTACGTTCTCTTGTCCGGCACTCCTAATATTTGAAAAAAAAAAAATTGTTTTATTTTTTTAGAAATAAAGAGCACATTTTTCTATGTGTAATAGGATAAAAAAAAATTTAGGGTCGGTACTTACTGAGATATGAGCCTGCAAAGTTGGCACTTAATGCTCATCAGCAGAGTATAGCACTTTGTCTAGATTTTATGGGTTATTCTAGGTAATTTACACTATGTATAATTGTATTTATGTATGTATTCCTGTGAGATAAGACAAAGAGATAGAGATAGATACAGACAGACAGAGACAGAGACAGCCAATCAGCCAGCCAGCTGGCCAGTCAGCTGTCGGCTAGCCAGCTGCCCAGCCAGCCTGCCAAAATTACAGTTCAAGAATTGTTTCCTTTTACTTAGGGCATAGGTTATATGACATTCTGGCAGGTTGATACTTTCCTCTTAAAAGGGGAGTGTTAATAAGACATGACATCAGTGAATCCTTGGTGTTTACTGCACTGCTTGTACTAGCTGGTGCTCAACTAAACTGGTGCTCCCATAAGGTACTAAGTGGTCCCAGATTTTTTAATACTGCACACACTGAGGGTTAAGACCCATTCTATGCTGACCAGGCATCTTAGGCCAATCATGCTGAATTTGGAGGCAGGAAAAATAAAATGTAGATTTACATTTGGAGTGCTAGCGGTAAGAACGGAGATCTACATTTGGACAGTTAATGGGTTAAAGGTTTAAAGTGAGTGGACATGGTAAATCCTCAAGCACAAATACCATAGGTGAGATAAGGGTATATTAAAGAGTGATATAAAGTAAGGAGTGCCCTTTGGGGTACATAGTATTGTATCTTGGAAAGGATACCTACTGTTTTGGAAACTTTCTAAGTTATATGCTGGATGTGGGTCTGAATTTTAAGATTACAGTCAAGGTGGAGACCTAGAAATTTGCCCTCGTTGAATCTTGTAATGGGTGAACCATTTCAGTAATGAAAGAAGGACCCCAATGGAAATAAGACTTTTTGGGTTATCCTGGTGGGTAATTCACACTATGTATGATAATTGTATTTATGTGTCCCTACACCTAAATAAACTTACTTACTAACCTTGATAATTTCATTGCTGAGTGTGAGAACAGTGATCGAGACAGCAGAGATAATCATGGCAGCTGGGTTGGAGCTTGGTAACTGTCGCACAATATCTTTAACCGTCTGCAAAAGTTAATATATATTAATATTACTTCTTATTACTTGATATATATTAGTATTACTTTTTATTATTTTATTATATAACTACAATAAGGCCCCACTTATATGGCAGGTTAGGTTCCAGGTTACCGCTATATGGCAGAATGCCCTTTTTTCCACTTATCAATGCATACAAATGCCAGATAACAAGTTCACACAAACATATAATCAGTTAATAGTAGAACAAGGCATTAAAAACCAATAAAAAAGTAAAATACACATACAGAACACTGATTACTTACCTTAAAGTATTTGTAGTCTTAATGTAGGGTGAGAGGCGAGTAGTATTTATTGTAAGAAGTCAGGTGTGGTGGCTCGCCCGGCTACCATGCCTATACGTAATACAGACACTCCTCACTTAACGACGTATTCATTTACCGACCGCTCGGAGTTACGACTGGCTCTCCAACCAGTCAGTATTGTATACCGTACGAGAACTTGGGTCATGGAAATGGGCACCGCAGTATCTCAGCATCAAGCATCTCAGTCTTGTTCCCCGCAGCTACTCAGTACACTAGCTTTCAGTCTCCAGGACTATATACAGTGGACCCCCAGTTAACGATATTTTTTCACTCCAGAAGTATGTTCAGGTGCCAGTACTGACCGAATTTGTTCCCATAAGGAATATTGTGAAGTAGATTAGTCCATTTCAGACCCCCAAACATACACGTACAAACGCACTTACATAAATACACTTACATAATTGGTCGCATTCGGAGGTGATCGTTATGCGGGGGTCCACTGTACAGTGGAACCTCAGCACTCAAACTTAATTAGTTCCAGAAGGTTGTTCAAGTGCTGATCTGTTCGAGTACAGAACAAATTTTTACCAAACAATTTTCTTTTTGGTTGGTTGTTATCACTAACCCTCTTAGGCCCCATGGTGACTTATTTAAATAATTTTAAAAACACCAAAACATGTATAAAACACGAAATAGTTTACAGCAAAGTTCTGGCAGGTCGTGTTTGTTTAGTCGAGTGCCGAGCAAACGGTCAACTACCAAGAAATTTGTTTACCCAACAAAGTGTTTGAATAATGAATTGTTCAAGTACTGAGGTTCCACTGTATTTGTACAAATTTGTACTTTACTGTACATCTCATACTTCAAGATGTAGGCAAAAAGGAAGATCTTGACTTCACCTGAAAGAAGCACCAAGAAACAAAGGAAGGCTATTGAACTTGGGTGAAAATGAAGATTATAATCGAATATGAAGCTGGTAAGAAAGTGCAAGTGATAGCCCGTGACTTGAAGTTGGCGCATTCTACCATTTCCACTATCTTGAAAGATAAAGACAGAGTGAAAGAGGCTGTGAAAGCATTGACAGGATTTCAAGCTATAGTAACTAGGCAGTGGAAAAGCCTCATTCATGAAATAGAGAAATTACTGGCAATCTGGTTTTTATTTATTATTATTATTATCACACTGGCCGATTCCCACCAAGACAGGGTGGTCTGATGACTAGATACAAAAAAGAATGCCAATGAGCCTTTTAATTAATAATTTAAGCCAAGTTATGCAGTACCTTTGAGACTGGAGGGACATGAAGATGATGAATCAATGGAAACATTTACGGCAAGCTATGGATGGTTTCAATGGTTTCATCAGAGATTCAACTTGCATTATAGGAGTATCAGTGGTGAGGTGGCAAGTACAGACGCAGAAGCAGCAGAAAGATTTGTCGACCAGTTTGATAATATCATCAAGGTGGATACCGTCCAGAACAGATCTTTAATGTAGATGAAACAGGACTTTTTTGGAAGAAAATTCCCAAAAGGTCTTACATACACAAAGAATATAAAACAAAACCTGGTTTGAAGGCTTTTAAGGACAGGGTCACATTGTTGCTGGGAGGAAATGTTAAGAGCAAATATGCTTATGTTAGAACTAGAGGCTATGGTCCCCAATGTTGAATGGTTCACGAAAATGAAACAGCAAATGAATGAACTTGTATGATGCCATTGTGAAACTTATGAAGAAAAAAAAAGAAAATTACAAAGCAGACCACACTAATGAAATTCTTCTCACCAGCTACACCCAGGACCCCATTGCCAACCCCTACAAGTTCTTCCATTACTTGGCCATTACTGTTGAGGGCCCTTACCCGGGCCCTCTACAGCTCCCGATAACCCTGCTGATAACTCTGGTGGCCTGGTGGTTAACGCTCTCGCTTCACACGGTGAGGGCCTGGGTTCGATTCCCAGCCAGAGTAGAAACATTGGACGTGTTTCTTTCCACCTGTTGTCTATGTTCCCCATCAGTAAAATGGGTACCTGGGTGTTAGTCGACTGGTGTGGGTCGCATCCTGGGACACTGACCTAAGGAGGCCTGGTCACAGACCGGGCCGCGGGGGCGTTGACCCCCGGAACTCTCTCCAGATAAACTCCAGATGACCCCAAACCAGTACTCTGAAATACTACATATTTGTTGACTAAAATATTAATTTGAATGTCTCTTTTTATACTTAGATTTTTTTGATACATCATTTTTATACTGTACAGTAATTGCAATTTTTTGTAATATGTAAGAATTATGCAAATTAGCCCTTTGACTATTTCAGTGGTATATATACATCTCAAGAGCCAATGTTTCCGACGTATTAATATGTGTAAATTCTAGCAACTTCAAATCAAACAGGAGAAAGCTGGTAGGCCTATATGTGAGAGAATGGGTCTCAGTGGTCAGTGTGCGCACTATAAAAAAAATTGGGGAGCCAGTAGTGCATTGTGGGAATGCCAATTCGGTAGTCCCTGTTCAGCATGCCTAGCAGTAAGAAATATGTGACTCCCTGATGAATCTGGGACTCTTCTCGTCCAAAATGATGCTCTAACACAGATGGAAGTGTCAGTGAAGATGAATTTCATGTTTTTGAGGAGTTTGTGACTGAATACAATGCCCAGGATACCAGAAGAAAGAAAGAAAGAGAAAGGAGAAATAAAGAGAAAGAAGAAAAGAAAGAGAAATAAAAAGATAGAGAAAGAAGAAAGAGAAAGAAAGAAAAAGAATGAGAAAGAAAGAGAATGAAATAAAAATAAAGAGAAAGGCAACAGGAGAAAAGAAAAAAGAGAAAGGAGAAAGAAGAAAGAAAGAGAAAGAAAAAAGACAAAGAGAAAGAAAGAGAAAGAAGAAAAAGGAGAAAGAAGAAGAAAGGAGAAAGAAAGAAAGAAAGAAGAAAAATAATTAGCTAGGAAGGATGTTGGGGAAGCAAGCATGGACCCCAATGTGTTGACAGGCGATAGGGGGAGTGAGTATTATATAATACAGTGGACCCCCGCATACCGTACGCATCACATAACGTTCAATCCGCATACCGCTCGCTTTTATCGCAAAAATTTTGCCTCGCATACCGCTCAAAAACCCGCTCACCGCTCTTCGTCCGAGACGCGTCCAATGTGCGTCCTTAGCCAGCCTCACATGTGCCGCCGGTGGCATTGTTTACCAGCCAGCCTCCGCGGTAACATCCAAGCATACAATCGGAACATTTCGTATTATTACAGTGTTTTTTGGTGATTTTATCTGCAAAATAAGTGACCATGGGCCCCAAGAAAGCTTCTAGTGCCAACCCTACAGCAATAAGGGTGAGAATTACTATAGAGATGAAGAAAAAGATCATTGATAAGTATGAAAGTGGAGTGCGTGTCTCCGAGCTGGCCAGGTTGTATAATAAACCCCAATCAACCATCGCTACTATTGGTGGTACAGCTGCTGCTGCTGCTGCACTGTCAGCTGGTGCTGCTGCTGCTGTAGCACCGTCGTTGGTGTGGCTTATTGACAATACCAAGAAACAATTAACCCCAGAGGATTTGCCACCCAGGATAACCCAAAAAAGTCAGTGTCATCGAAAGACTGTCTAACTTATTTCCATTGGGGTCCTTAATCTTGTCTCCCAGGATGCAACCCACACCAGTCGACTAACACCCAGGTGAACAGGGAAAAATGCCTGGAACTAGTGCTCATATTGGTGAATTTAAAGCCAGCAAAGGTTGGTTTGAGAGATTTAAGAATCGTAGTGGCATACACAGTGTGATAAGACCTGTTCTGGAAGAAATGCCAACAGGACCTATAGTACTCAGGAGGAAAAGGCACTCCCAGGAACAGTGTCTCATCAGTCATTGCTGCATCTTCAATAAAGGTAAGTGTCATTTATTCTTCATTTAGTAGAGTAGTACATGCACAATATATATTGTGCATGTACTACTCTACTATTGTGCATGTATCCTTCTCTTTGTGTGTAGGAAAATGTATATTTCATGTGGTAAAAATTTTTTTTCATACTTTTGGGTGTCTTGCACAGATTAATTTGATTTCCATTATTTCTTATGGGGAAAATTCATTCGCATACCGATCATTTCGCATAACAATGAGCCCTCTTGCACGGATTAAAGTCGCTATGCGGGGGTCCACTGTATGTCATTTTGACAGCTGCCGGACCCTAACTCAGCACATTTAGAACTTCGCATACACATACACATATATACACACACACAAAACACACACACACACACACACACACACACACACACACACACACACACACACACACACACACACACACACACACACACATACATAATTTTAAGAAGGGGTATGACAAAGCTCCGGAAGCAGAGAGGGAGAGGACCTAGTAGTGATCAGTGAAAAGGCGGGGCCAGGAGCTGAGTCTTGACTCCTGCAACCACAATTAGGTTATATGTACGTGCGCACACACATGCATGCACACACGCACATGCACGCACGCATGCACGCACAACACCACACACACACACACACACACACACACACACACACACACACACACACACACACACACACACACACACACACACACACACACACACACACACACACACACACACACACACACACACACACATCACCAGATCTTCATTAAAGGTAAGTGTCAATTATTCTTTCGTTATTTATTGTTATTTATTGTTATTGTTGTTATTGTAATTACTATTCTAT